GTTATCTCAAGCCATGCTGGTAAAATGAGTGCAGCCCTTAGGGATTCTGCCAGCTGAGCAAAAATGGCTGCGTGCAACACGTAAACTCATTAACAATTTGTCTGAACTAACCTTGGAGCCAGCAGGAGCTGACCGAGCCTCATTTGGCAAAGATCTTGAGTGTTTTTCTTCTCTGTTTGCACCTCCGTGCGTGCCCCGCTGCCTCCCATCCCATGCCTCCCATCCCTCCTGCCTCTCCCTCCACTCCCTTTCCCAAACTGGGGATGGACCGAGTGCTTTTTTTCCAGTTACAGAGGCAGAAACACCTCGCAGGTCCCCTCTCTCTGCGCGACTCGAGAGCACCTGCGGTCACGGAGCTCACAAACACGTGTTTCTCAGCCGTCACGGGGAGCAGCCAGGGCCGGGGCACCCCCTCCAGCACCACAGCAGCTTACTGGGAGCCAGACCAGGAGGGTGGTGCATCGGGCAAGCTTCGGCATCAAACGAGCCACGTTAAGGCACGTTAAAAACCATTTATTCATTTTAAGCGCGGTGATGTTTCTGCGATCCGGAACAGCGGGGGAGAGAAAAAATCTCAGCCGTCACGGGGAGCAGCCAGGGCCGGGGCACCCCCTCCAGCACCACAGCAGCTTACTGGGAGCCAGACCAGGAGGTTGGTGCATCGGGCAAGCTTCGGCATCAAACGAGCCACGTTAAGGCACGTTAAAAACCATTTATTCATTTTAAGCGCGGTGATGTTTCTGCGATCCGGAACAGCGGGGGAGAGAAAAAATTCTGACGAGGTGGGAATGGTGGCACAGGAGATATGACTGCAATGGTGGAGCCATCAGTTCCATAGAAATGGCTTGATTTAGTAAAAAGTAAGATTTGCGGGATGAAGCCTTGAGTCCCCAGCTTCCCAGTGCGCAAAATAATCTCCTTTATATATTGTCAGCTGGTAAGAGCTGATGGTCAGTGTTCCTCCAAGTTCTGGTACACGCAGCCTGCGCCTGCTCATCCCAAAGCCCTCGGCAGTCACCCTCAAGTCAGACACTAAATATCTGGTGTGACAGCCCCACGTGCTTCTACCAAGCCGTTTTCCCTTTCAAAAGGAACGGCCTCTACAACAGTGAAGCAAATACAACAAAAAGAAAATAAGCAGAAGATACAACGAAGAAAAAGGTGTCTGATTTAGTGAAAAAATAAGAGCCTATGATGGGAAACAGCATTCAAGGTACTGCTTAGGGTAGCAAAGGACTAACAAAGTGCCTCCAGGCCACAAACGGAGAGTGACGCGCACAACCGCTCGGTTCAACTCGTTTGACCTTACCAGAAGGACAGGAGCCGTCGCTCGCCTGCTGACGCCAGGAGCCTGCGAGAGCCCCTAACCCCGCACGTGCCGCCGCCGCCACGCAACACGGGGAGCCCGCCCGGAGCCCAGCCATCTGCTCCCCCGCCTAAGAGGGCTCAGCCTAAGTGACAACCCACGTCAGCGCTGACACAGGCCACACGCGCAAACACCCGTAAGCTCTTCTCGAAAGCTGCGCGGTACAAAGGAAAAGGGTCACCTCGCTGGACGTCGCCTACAACTGCTTTGCTTGGGTCTAAATGTCACTTTAGGAGGACGGAGATGAGCAGTAAATGTGTCTGAAGCCACGAAGAAGAAAATACAGAGAGATTACACTACAGTATCTCACTGTATTTCACTGCATAAATCCTGTGCTCTAAGAAAGGTGTTAATTCCTCAAACCACTATTTAGAAACAAAAGAAGTACACTGAGGTGAGGAGCAGTGATGAGGAAAACTCTACTAGACAAAAGACTAACTTGTAAACACCAACTTACATCAGAAAGCAACTCCTAGAAGGGTTCTGACCTCACCTGCTTCCTGTCAGCCCTCTCTGCTTTCCCATCAAAGATTCAAGCTGGCAAACGAACAAATTCCTGTCAGGAAGATGATGTGCCTTAAAAGCACGAAAAACCTGAACTGCACTGGGACCAGGGAAGGAATGGGATGTAAATGAGTCTTGGAAACTCATAGCCAACCCCTCTTTTGGGCTACAGTCATTTTTTTAAATTTAACAATAGTAGGAAATACAAGACTCAGGCAAATTTGCCTCTTAAATCTGAATCCACAAAGGGTTTTTTTAAGAATTAATACCCTGTCTCTACGTATTTCACAAGTTAAGATTTTAAATATTCCTCCTCTTCCATCTGCAGCTTCAACATCTTCCTCGCCAAAACTACAAAATATTTTAACACAGACGTCATTATACAAGAGCAAATATAAACAAATAACAGAGAGCTCGAGGGATTGAAATACACCTAAAGGTGCATCATCCACTGGCATTTTCAACTTCTCTTTTTATTAGCCATACAGTTATCCCTACCTTCAGATGAAGTCATGGAGCTCTTCTCAGCCGGCAGGGAGAACAGGGCTGCTTCTACACCGCCTGCATATCCACCGCTCACTTCTTTACATTTCTGCAGCGTCAGACGAGCATCTGACTCGGACAGTTTTAAGATTATCGCAGCTTAAGCGGTTTGCACGTCCCATGAGACACGCTGATGGGATAAGGAGCCTAATTATTTAAGCAGAGCATCCTCCGGTCACTAAGCTCCCTGAACTGAAAGCATCGTTTCTCCAGTTGTTTTTATGCTATTTGAACTTTTTTAGCAGGTAAGACTCCCAGGACCTGGTCGAGCCATAGGCCTTAGAGTCACGAGATATCAGAAGTCCCTGAATACACCAAGTTGCGACGCAAAGATTTAAGGAGTTGCAGAGTTGATAAATCCAGTCCCACACATTAGATCTAAGCAAGAGTAACGACTGCAGCTCTGCAAAGATGCCCTGACCACGAGGAAAGGCCCAAACCCATGTGGCCAGTCGCTGATCCAAGCAAACTGCCCAGAAGGTGAAAGGCTTTGAAATCAGATGCCTCTAGTTCCTTTGCACGAATCTTTTGCCAGCAATTCTCTCCACGCTGAAGTCCTACTTGATGCCAAGTACTAAAACAAATCTCTCCTTCGGAGTAAAAACACTGCAAACAAAAAAAAAACCCTCCATTTTTCTCTATTTATTCTGTAAAAAAAAAACAACTTACAAAATAGAGCTGCATTTTTTAATCAAGTATTATATGCACAATCTGTCCCTATATAAAAATAGCTCTATAGGGAAAAACAATTACAGTAGGTTAGAGTTGAGATTTTATTCTTTTTTTTTTTTCCAGCAGGCATATTCATCAAATTTATATCTATTCACATGACTGCCTGACCTATTTCGCCACAACTGGGAATTTTTTCCATGTCGTGGTACCAGTTTTAGTCCACTGAAGTAAAATGTCAACAGCTGCTTTCATCAACCTTGAAAAGTTGTTTGTGCCTCAGAATTCGTTTCAACTTGTAACAGGTTCGTTTCTACACACAAAAACACAGGAACTGTTTTGACAGTGATGCTTGACATGTTTCATTTAAGAAGAAAAAATATGTTTACTAATGACGTCTTTTTTTTAACTCCTGTATTTCTGGAAATTTCATCATCTGGATTTAAAAGGCTTATAAAGATAAAAGCCACCAAAAATAGGATGTTAATACTGGCACAAATACCGTTGTCAGCGATGTTTCTTTAATAAAGTTGAGATTTGTTAACCTGAACTCGCAGCAGGATCGTAATTCCGTACCACAAGAGGCCCAGCAGCTCTGGGAAATCCCTGCGGAGTCCGACGGCAAAAACAGTTCTTACGCTTTCCTTCAAGACATTCCAGTACCTGGACGAGAAGAGAGGATGAGACTTCCTCTTCAGATCTTCTTATATTTACACGCGCAATTATTCCTCCAACATTCCTCCTCAGACATTCGTCCAACATCAAAATAACGTGTTATTAAATTATCTGACAGCAGTGGCCCATGTGTCGTTTGTGGGGAGACTCGGCAGAACCCATCCTGGCGGGATGCAGCTTCCTTCGGGGTGATCGGCCGGCACCAAGTACTGATCCCACTCGTGCCTTTAACAGAGAAAACATCGTCTGAGAGGCAGGAGTTTGCTCATCAGATTTATTACACTCGCCCGCACAGGCATTTTCCAACCTGTACTCTGTAAACTTGTACTCTGAAACTTGCTTTTCAAAACACAAATGTGAAAATTGTGTGTACTGCCCTATTAAACGGAATGGTTACGCACCCTGCCTCACACGGGCATCGCTGGATACAAACTCCATCAAGCAAGAAGCTGAACCCTCCGTGGGAAAAATAAAAAGGAGAATTCATTGCATAATCCTATTTTGAAGTTAACGAACTGAAAGGGACCATCATTTACAGTTTCAACTAGCAATACTCAGCCTTTGATAATAAAATAACAACTTTGGTTTTACCTGATCTGGATGAGAGCTGCTACGGAATGCTCAGCTTGTAAGTAATACTCTCTGAAGGGCTGCAATAGGTGGGCTAGAGGAAACTCATCTGTTAAAACACAAACACAGAAACCATTCAATAAACCAGAAACATCTCCATTTCGAATAAGTTTTACAAGCTCCAAATTTGCCAACTCATTTGCTGCTCCTCAGCTACAACCTGAAATCGCTTCCCTGTGTAACGTATTAAGGCCTATTTACATGTTTTGCACATCTCCTCATCTTTACCAGAGCTGTCAGAGGCAAGTCAGGACCAGTAAAACCTTTCCTGCCTCTACCCTCTAAACATGGGGAACATATGGACACTGAATCTTTACAGATTACCCAAGTCACATTTCCCAAATCACCAGACTAGAGCATCTGTTTGGGTGCTGAAAGGCTTCAATCTATTCCGTGTATTCTCACTTCAGCTTAATCTACCACCTCTCCTTGCAAAACACGATGAAATCGGCTCAAGCTATGCTGCAGTCTGCCCTGCAGAGCTGAACGGTTCTTCTGACACTGCACATGTGAAGAGCACACAACACCTATCCTGTCTTTTCCTCACGCCACAGGTAACTCCAGCAGAGTATTTCTTCCTCAACTATTTCTGAGCCTGCATTTTAACCCCAGTGTTTATGAGACGTGGGTGTGGCGCGGAAAAATACTGTTAAGTACGGCACGCAGCATTTACCTGGATCCCCAAAGAGCTTGGAATCAATTTCAAGTTTCTGCTGTAAGAGTTTTTCCCGTTCCTTCTTCTGTTTCTTTTCCATTTCTCTCTTCCTTTCCTCCTCCTGTTCCCCCTCCAACATAACCCTTAACGCTCTCTCCTCAGCTTCATAGAGCTCTGTGCGATTTTTGAGCAACGTTTTGAGACTCTCCACCTGATTTTCAAATGCTTCATCTGCCGAGGGGGGTGGACAAACACCTGAACAGAAAGAGAATTCATTTTAAATTTTCAAACTCAGCAGGGGCTTTGTTATCAGACTTGAGACCGGAGCTGCTGAAATCTCAAGAGGAACATGAGCTTAACGTTGCACACGACTATCTCACCGGAAAAAATCTTTTATCGAAAAAGAGCTTGGAAACGTAGGAACACAATCACTGCATTCAGCGCATGCCTAACAATGTAACTAAAATTACTAGGAAGCAAACAGCTTTTTCAAGCTGCTCCTTGCTAGTCAGCACAGGGCACGCACATCACCTTATTTCCAGTGTGCACAATTAAAAAAGTTTGGTAAAAGCCTCCTAATTAACCTTTCCTGCCAGCGGCCTCTTTTCTCAGTTTCCGAAGCTTTTCTAATGCGCGCAGGACGTCCATCATCCTCTTTGTGTCTGCTTGTTTCTTCCGTACTTCAGATAAGACACTGTCTGCAGCAGCCTTAAGTTCTTGTTCCTAATAAAGGAAAAAAAAACCAAACTAGACATGGTGTGTGAAACATCCCACATAGGCAAGAATCAGATGGTACTTTCGAAAAGATTGGCGAGGGACTGGAGATCCAAGTAACTTCCTAGCAACGCAGCCACAGTAAGTTAACTATCCAACCTTGTCTTTTTATGAAGAAAACAAAGTATGACAGACTTCAGGAGACAAAGAACGTTGAGCAACTCATCAATTTGGGGTAAAGGGCTAACGAATTCATAAAGCCCGATAACCTTTAACCTCAGAAAGTTAGGAAAAACATTAACGTTGCAAATCAGCCCGGTTCTACAGCTCAGCAATTAAAGACCATCAACATTCAAGACCATTAACATGCCCCTTAGGTCCCCATGTGTTGCCTGATCTAGTTGAGAGGCGTCCCTGCCCGTGACAGGGAGGTTGGATTAAATGATCTCTAAGGTCCCTTCCAGCCTAGGCCATTCTGTGATTCTATGACTATTCCACAGCCTGAAAAGAGAACTTTCCTGCTCTGTCTAGTGCCCTGTACCCTCCCGGCGGCAGACACAGCACCACGAGGAGAGCAGCTCTCCAGCGGCGCCAGACGCAGCACCACGAGGAGAGCAGCTCTCCAGCCAACACCCAACACAAAGGTGCCTGCAGCACCTCTTGGCAAGCCTAATCTAAGGTGGTGGGGTTTTTTTTTGCTTTGGAACCATCTTTCTTCCCAGCACGACCAAAAGAGCTCACAAACAAGCTTTACAAGCCAGAGGGCAAAGCTTACGGTTACTGAAATGGCGCTGCCCGCTGTAGGGTAGGCGTGCGCAGTCTGGGGCTGGGTGACAGCTTGGGACCGCAGCGGAAGAGCTCCACGTGCACCTGAGAGTTCAGAAACCACTTAAACCTCAACTGGCAAGACCTAGGGCACGAGCACGCCAAAGCTGGGATGTCTACCAAGGCTTTTAAGGAAGAAGCGGGGCTGCAGGCCTCGGAAACAGCAGGTCTCCAAGCCAGCTGAACCCCACAACACCCAAGTGGCACCTACGGGATCACGGGGGCCAAAGCTGGGTGCCAAGCAGGCACCGCTCTCTGTGAGCCCCTTAGCAGGAGACCTCCCCCGGCTTCACCACACTGCCCTGCACCCGGAGGGACAC